CTTTTAGGATGAAAGGGTATTTTGGTAATCTCATAGTGCAATTAAATTTGCTAAGGTTGTTGCCTGCATTTAATTTTAATATTAAAATTAAAATTAGTAAGATTATATTTAAATATATGTGCGCATATATTTAAATGGATTATTATTAATAATTAAATGTTAATATATATATTATATATATTGATTGATTTTAATTATACTAATAATCAATTAAAATTAAAATACCATAAAGGGTGTGTTTGGTTGCAAGGATGGATTAACTTAAGAGTCCATAGCATTCCTATTGGGATTAGGGTTTTTAATTAAGTGACACTATATAAGTGAAACTTAATTAAAACATATATAATATAATAATTTCATTCATTGATTGAAAAGAAAACCCTAGCCACCTTTTCTTCTCTCTCTCTCATTTTTCTTAGTGAGTGAGTCAAAGAATTTTTTTCGATTCACTTGATTCTTGAAGCCTTCTATTAGTTCTAGCAAAACTATAGTAGGTTCTACGAATTATCTTCGTGTGGACGACGTTTATGCGATTCTCTTCTTGAATCGACAAGCGAAATCAAAGTATTGAAGGAGCCTCCAAACGTTGGTAATGTGTTCTTAATCCTTGTATGGATTATTTACTATGATTTATATTGTACATATTTTCTATTTATTAACATGTAAGCAATTCTATCTATACTCGGATCTTGGCGTAGAAAGTGATTGATTTTTTGTTTAATTTGTGATTTTTCCGCTGCCTTTTCGAGATCAATCACTATCAGACCCGGCCTCAGTCACAACAGACCCGATTGGGTGGAGTCACAACTACATCCTCCACCCTCCTCTCCTCCCTACTTGAAGAGTAATTTTTGCTCTTTTCGGAACGCCTTGCAATTGACTCGCTCGTACTTGGGATGGTTAACTTCTTCATAAGTCCTTCTACAATCGTAAATTCCTCAATAGTTAGTGGGTTCAGGCTTGACTTACCAAACAAAATATGATTGCAATAGCGAATAAGCAACATGTTCCACGTCTGCTTGAATGAAGGGAAGCGAGTACCTCATTGAATCTCCCCAACTCCAGCCCGCATGTGACTCGCCCTTAAATTAGCCTCCTCTAACACCACTCGCTAGTCCCTCTACTCCTTTGGTATGGCAAAAACCTCTCTAGTCAGCACGTCCAAGCTGTCCGCACTCTGCTCGAATCAGTTGTAATCAGGATTTGCAAAGGAAAAACAAAATAAGACTTTAGTCGTCAAAATACAAGTCAAGAATAAGTTTCTCAGCGGTTGCTTGCTAGGTGTAGGGGATCTCGCCCTCCTTTCTCTCCAAAGACTATTTCACCCATTAAGAAGAAGTGCTCTTTCCAATTTTTGTACTCTACCGTAGATTGGTTAAAAGGTGGATTCGGTCGTGCCTGAGTGTCACCACGTATCTACCCTTATCTTTGTCCTACTCCTTCAAAAAATATAAGTATAACAATTCGTGCAACCTAAACATTACTTGGTTCTGCACATAGAGAACCTCCAAAGCCATCAACAGTCTCCACCCATTTGGCATGATTTGGGTTAGCGCAATCATAAAGTGGTTTAACACCTCCCAGACGAGACAGGGTATTGGAAGTCTTAGCCCATCACGGAACCACTTCTCATAGACACTCACCCAACCTTTGGCTTTTCAGTCAACCCTCTCGTACAACTTGGGTATCCTTATTTCAACCGATTCAGGAATATGGTATAGCGTCCTAATCCTCCACACATCATTCTCCTTCAACAAGAGTGGATAGTCCATATTCAATATCCCACTGCCAAACCGTCTTGACTCCCCCTCCGAATCATCATTAGTAGAGGCAAGTCTTCAGAACCATTAGAATCATTGGAGTCTTACCCACACATCCCTTGTCCATCTAAAATATCTTCACTATAATCAGCACCACTCAGCTCAAGAGACACTACATTCAACCCCCTTGGTATGCCTACAGATACGACTCCACCTTCTAGCATCAACACCATTGTTAGGGCTCCCTCGGTACTCATTGTCACCCTCTATACCTGCCCTACTCGACTCGCCCGACTCTGACTACGACATTGAAGTTCAACAATCCACTCCTTATTCCACTCGACCCAAGCGACCGACTAATTCTCTAAGGCTAAGTCTTATCTTTAGATCCAAATGCACCCACTCATCTAGAGCAACCAACTGCCTAATGCTTTAACTTGCTGGTTTTAGCCTCAACTCTCAAACACACTCGACTTGGTTAGGACGACCGAGTGACCACACCCCAACACTTTCCAACTCATAATATGGTTCTCTCTACTCGATCTGACAGACCAAATGACTTAGGTGCCTTAGCTCTAATTTGAAAAACATCAATCTCCAACCCTCAATCAACCACCTCACTCAACTCAGTCAAGCAGACTGAGACGAGCAGAGCCGAGTGGAAACCTTATGTAATTCGATTCCATCTTTTATCTCCCTAAAAACCTAAAAACTCCAAAAATCAACCAAAAATACATAGTAAACGGCTTCAAAACCCAAAACCTCTCCCTTTAAACACTAAAGAAACCACACCAAATCAATCTTGAACACTCAAAATCCCTCTGAAAAACCAAATCACCACCGAAACTCCCATTTCAAACCAAATAACCTCACGCCTCCTCTTCTTCAAACTCTTTTAAAAAAATCTGCTAAACCTCACCCAAACTTCCTCAAAAATACCAAAAGCACAAAGAAAGGCAGAAAGGAAACAAAAAAAACAGCAAAAGAGAGTAGTGTTTATAGTGAAAATGGCTGAAATCGCCAAGATCTCCTCACCGCCATAGAAGAAGTAATGAAATAAAGAAGAAAAAAGAAGGAAGAGAAAAACGGGAGAGAAATGGCAATGAACAATTGCTTCTGCACCTTTAATGACAAAGCTAACAAAGGGTACATGTGGTAAACTCTGATTGGTTATCAAACAATGCGATTCTTCGTTTCCCACCCAAGCACAGAAAAGAGATCTCAACCGTACACATGTCACGAGATAAGTTACTTGGATTTGCATTTCCCGCTCAAAATTTAGGGTTGCCACGTCATGCATATTTTGTAGAGCCCTAAAGGCTCCAACCAATTGCTGCCCGACCGAATGAAATTATCAACCTATGATACAAGACACTCACATCCAACCACTCAATCAAGTCGACCGAATGGGTACATTAGGAAGAAATTTGACCTTCCTACAAGTTAATTATCACTCGATATTGCGAACCAGGAGAATATCCTTGAAGATTTTGCTATCTCTACTCATCGGTCCAAGGCACCAAGTGAACGCTTCTCCAAGAAATCAATTTTCTTCTCACTCGGTTCAGTTTGATGCACTGAGTGAGGACAACTTCATGGGATGTGCCTCACATCCTCTCACTCGGTTCGATGCAACGAATGGAACACACCTTTAAGGAACCACACATCTTTCACTTGGTTCGATGCACCAAGTAAGGGTGCCACTAGATATTCCACATACCCTTCCTCGGTTCAATGCACCGAGTGAGGTCCTTGCTTATTGCATTTTCTCACTTGACTCGATGTGCTAAACGAGAACAAATCTACATACTCACCCATTTGGCTTGGCACACCAAGTGAGCCACCTTCATACGAGAAATTCTACTCAAGACCCGATTCCATGAACTGAAGACTTGGCATCTACATTGATACTCGCCCATCTGGATAGTCAAACTAGCTGAATACACCTTCACGCAACAGTAACTACTCTTTAAGCTAAGTACTCTTTAACTTAGAGAGTGGGCGGCAAACTGTTAGGGATAAAAAATGTCCTCGGCCTCAATAGGCTTAAAAGCTAAACACCTTCAATGGAGCTTAGAGCCTTGGCCTAATTCTGGTTAGGCCCATAGCAGAATTTGTGTAATGGGTTAGTCCATTACACCCACTAGGCCGCTCACAGATTGAACTCAAATCACTAACGCCTTGATTCACTTAGGCCTCACCTTAACTTTATCTGAGCCCAGGCCACTTGATCCAAGATCACTTACTGGACCTAGGGTTTACTTAAACCCCAAGGCTATCTACATCCTATTTTCGGTACTATCCAGATTCCCCCTAGGAAATCCACCTACATCCTAATTCGTCTAAGATCCTAATCTTAGACGAAATAAGACTCCTTCTCCTACTAAGGCAAGTAAATTGAAGACTTTCTTGTTCACTAAACCTCAACCATTATGGACTTATAGTCCTACTAGGATTTGGAGATCCCACGATTTCTATATAAACAAAGGTCTGCCCTCTCATAAGGCATTCAACATTACACCTTCAAACCCCCTAGTTCTCACCTTTGAGAGTTTTACATCGCTGCCATAGTTCTAGTACCAACTAAACTTTTGGTAACCCTCTCTTTCCCTTACGCTCGCTAAATTAGCCTCATTCAGCCTTGCTGACTTGAGTGTCGGAGTGCCTATGACAAACACCACCTTAGTGTTTTCTGTTCACTTCACGCTTATATCTTTGTATGTACAGGTGCAAGATTGCTAATGGCTTCAACCTCACGAGATCATACCCTCCATTCCGTAACCGTAGATTTTACCGTCTACAACTTGTTTTTGGGGGGTTGTGCAATTGTTTTAGGAAAAGATTCATCATTTATAATTCTCATTCTATAAGAGAAATAGTGGATGTATGCTCTTACTCTTGCCAAACCACTTTAAAAATTGTCTCTTGTCATCGCTCATTTTTGCTCTTTAATTATTTAATTGCTGATTTTCATTAAATCATGCACACATCCGTTCCGATTACACCAAGGTCAATCGGATCTCTCGGGTTGGTGCAAATTTTCGTATCAACACCTTTTATGATTAATCATTGCGAGTTTTATAAAATTTTAACTTTAAAATATACCTGAATGACTGGTAAAAAAAATTCATTAATACACTTATCGAATAATTGCCACAATGCAGATTGATTTTACAGAAGAAAATAACCTAGAACTAATGAAGAAAATAACCTAGAACACACAAACATACTTAAAATATTTTAGTCAGAGCCAAAGAGAACATTATTTACGATGGGACGAGCTCTACACATAACCTCCAATGCTTTGGCTTTGGGCATGGTGATACCTCTTCCTTCTTCAGACATATCAACCATTTCCTCATTAATCCTTTCCCACTCGAAACACTGAATCAACGACCCCAAAGCCAATCCCACAACACGCTGAGCCAGGCCTGCTCCAGGACACGCCCGCCTTCCTAGTCCAAATGGCATTATTAGCTTGTGGGCCTGACCTTCTTCATTGTAAAACCTCTCGGGCTTGAAATTGTTTGGGTCATCCCACAGCTTGGGATCTCTATGAATGGCCCATGCATTGACCAATAAAATTGTTTCTCGTGCCACATCGTATCCCCCTATGGTACAGTCACTGGATGACGAATGAGGAACCAGAAGTGGGGCTGCCGGGTAGAATCGAAGGGTCTCTGATACAATACTTTGAACATATTGCAGTTTAGATAAATCAGGTTCATCCATCAAACGATCCTGGCCAATTTGATTGTCTAATTCCGTTCTTGCCTTTTTCAATGTTTCCGGGTGATTCACCAAATTGGAGACAGCCCATTCTAATGTAAATGCTGATGTATCTGTTCCGGCTAATAACATTACCTATACGTGTAAATTGAATAAATGATAAGTTAAAACGAAGTAAAAATAAACAACTATAAAATTGGAACGAAAGTCTTATCTGGTAGGAAAAGATATGATTTAGTTTTAACAAGACGACAACGATCCCTCTTGATATATATATATATATATATATATATATATATATAGTGTTACGTGTAAAGCTCTACACGTGAAGTTCTGTGCATAGAGATAAGGTTTCAGCTGAATGATAACCTAGCTCTCTATTTTAGTCGTTAGCCACTCATTATGATAATGACAACGACGCACTAACTAGCGCATGCAATTACCCGCCAAAACCTGAAGATAATTTAAATAAATCTACAAAAAAGAAATTGACTAACCAGTATAAGCCCTTTGATGATTTGATCAGTGTAATACTCTGGCTGTGATTCTTGCAATGTAAGCAGATGATCAATCATTGTATTCATGCTCTCTAAATTACTCTTCTTACATCTATGCTCATCAATTAAACCTTGCAAAAACCCGTCAATGTTTTTACTTAGCCTTAAAACTGTCTTCTGAAGATCACCACCGTCAATCCAATTCAAGATAGGCAAGAAATCTCCTGGATTCGACACCCCACCATATGTTGTAGCCTCCTTCACAATTTTCCTAAACCTCCTTGCCTCTTCTTCATCCTCCACTTCATCACCGTAGTACCGCTTCCCTGCGACCATTCTCATCATAATATTAAACGTTAACTCTGAAAACATTGTTTTAAGCTGCACCTTTGAAAACTCTTCGCGAGACCCGCAAGACAGATTTTTCAGCAGCCATTTGATTTCTTCCCTTCTAATGGATAAAAACATGTTAAGACGATTTGATGAGAATACTTCAATGGCAGCTATGCGACGGAGGTTGCGCCAGTGATCACCATAGGGGGATTGCACGAGAGTGGTGTAGTTATAGCCAAGGTGCTTGCCCATGAGTAACTTTGGGCGGTTGGCAAAAACGATGTCGTTCTTCGTAAAGCATTCCTCCGCTGCTGATAATGAGGATACAATTATCATAGGGCGGGAGCCGAATCGAAGGGACATGATAGGACCATATTTTTGCGATAGCTTGTGCAAAGCAAGATGAAAAGGGGGTTTTATGAGGTGAAAGTGCCCAAGAATCGGTAATGAAGGTGGGCTAGGGGGAAGATTTTTGCGGCTTTTTCTTGATTGAAACAACAGCTTTAAAGCGAGAATCATGAAGAGAAGAGAAAGAGATGAGTAGAGGATGGTTGTGTCTTCCATTTTTGCCTTGCTAGGATTCGGCTTTGTAATGATTTTTTCAATAATGTGGATTGTGGTGACTGATGAAGTGATGGGGGAAGATTTGTGATTTGTGTTGCATTTATAGAGGAAGTGAGTCAGTGACTGTGCTGTAATGAATATAGACATATAGTCCAAGCAACAAAAAAAACTTTAAGAGTTTTAGCTCAATTATCTAGAACGGCCGAGTTTGGATAGAATTTGATCTCTTCTAGTGCGCGCATACATCATATATGCCGTGTGCTTCTTAATCCTCTGATTGGGTAAAACAAATGTTTATCCAAAATGTATCTCTCCTCTATTATTTGTTTTTATTTATCTGTTCCTGTGCACAAAAGGCAATTGCGGCTACGACCTCTCTGGCATTTATATTTGCTGGTTGCGTAATTCTGCCCCGAAGAAGATAAAAAAACTACATATAGGAGACAAAACGAGACAATTTAAAGTATGTAGAAATATCAATATAATAATAAACCAACAAGAAAATCACATAACTTGTCAATAAAAGCGAAAACATGAAAAATGAAATTGTTCTTACACAGTATCTTGTGCATGCACTAACATAAATGACTACGTATTCGATTGCGCAGTGCGCACTCTGCGGATATATTCTCTTTGAGGTGATGATGTTACGTCAGTGAATACGCAAATAGACTTTGAATAATGAAATTAAAATGTCCGTCGTAACTCCTAAATTAAAAATAGAAATCAGCCCTTCCTGACCAAATTAACATGGATCAGAAACAGACATATATTAATTTTACTTTTCTGCTTACGCATTCTCATGCGTATGTACACAGAAAACCAATAACGTTGATGCGTATGTAAAGAGCAAACCAATAACGTTGACGCAGTTTCTATCGGGTGGCAAGTCCATGCTCACGTGATTAAGACAAAAAAAATTATAGAGAAATCGTATTCAGTCTGCAAAGTGTGACCAGTTCCAAAAAATGCATCACCATAGAAACTAGGGATATGCAAAAGAACAGGTTGAAATTAGAATTGGAATCAAAATCGATAGGTATTTAGGGTTTCAGTTCCTATCCAGAATCAGCCCTCACAAGATAGGTTCCAGTTTTAGAAATCAGGAACTAATCGGTTCCAGTTTCAGAATCCGAATCGAGATACATGTACCCAAATAAGAAACGAGACTGAATTATAATTTTTATAAAATGTTGGAAGTGTATTTGTAATTTTAAATGGCTTATTTGTCATTTTTTTTAAAGTAAGGGGTAATTAAAATTAACCCGGAATCGGAACTAGAACCTATGGTTCCTGGCTTCTAGGAATTAAAACCAGTCGATTCCGATTCTAGTTCCAAATCTAAGGAATTGGCCGATTCCAGTTTCAATTCCTTTGAATTTGGATGGGTACTCAGACCCATCCACCCCTAATAAAAACAAGCAAACACAACTTATTTGGTGGTTTTTGTTTTGTTTTCATATAAGATGAATTACAAATGACATGAAGGCTCATGATAAAACCCCATATATTTCAAACACAACGTAGTCTGTTAAACTCTTAAAACAAAATAGGTAAGGTTCACAGCTGGTTCTCCCACTTTACAAATAGTTTCAAGAAGAACGAGCCCATGATGTGCATGCTTTACACATTCCTAAGGGCTCTGCTTTTTCCGTAACAAGTCCTCAAGTCAAATATCAATTTCTTTCTCCTGAGAGTAACCGCCACCCCCGAGGTTAGGCAAAATATTTTTTTGTAATCTCAAATTTAGGAAACTAACAATCACACCCCAAATAGAATTTCAAGCTATTACTCATTAACACTGTATAGTGGTTTAAGACATCATTCTTCTTCTTCTTCTTCTCTCTCTCTCTCTCTCTCTCTCTCTCTCTCTTCATTAAAAAAGATAAAAAAATAATTAACATTTCATACAACAATGGTTCTACTTCGCTACACCGTAACTAATCACTGGAGCCTTTCAAAACAATGTTGTAATTAGTTGTGTAGCCTCTAGGGCTATAAACGAACCGAGCCGAGTCGAGTTTTTGACTTATCGAGTCGACTCGTTTGCTACAGGATCGAGCTCGAGCCGGTCGAGTCAGAGAAAAGGGACTCGAACTCGAGCTTGATCGAGTTCGACTCAACTTGACTTCATCTTCATCATCTGTATCTTTATCTCCATCATCTGCATATCTTTATCTCCATCATCTTCATCTTTGTCTTCATCTTCATCTTCGTCTCATCTTCATCTTCATCTTTGTTTTCATCTACATCTTCGTCTTCATCTCATCTCATCTTCATCTTCATCTTCATCTTCGTCTTCGTCTTCGTCTCCATCTCATCTTCACCTTGTAGAGCATCACGAGTTACGCAGACTTACGCTGCTTCCATCACCATCTTTTTCATCTTCATCATCGTCTTTTTCCTCAACGTAACCATTATGTTGATTTTGATTTTGATTTTTGATTATGAATATTTGCAAGAACAAATTTAGGGGTTAGGGTTTGTCGATTTGGGATATCTGATTTGGAGGTTTAACTTTGTGTTTTAGAACAAATTACATTGGGGGTTAAATGTTGTTTTTACAAATTTTTAAAACTAAAGAATATAGATAACACTTCAGTCCCCATAGTTTATAAAATATAACAAATGGAACTCTGCTTAGCCAAGCCACATCAGGCTCGTGAGCCTACGAGATGAGCCTCCCCATGTTCAAGCTCGGCTCGTTTTATATAGCGAGCTCGAGCTCGAGCCGAGCCGGCTCACGAGCCGCTCGACTCATCTGACAACCCTAGTAGCCTCCACCCTCACACTTCCATTTTCTCGTCAGTAGCCATCGAAAAGATCTTTGTTATGATATTAGTTTGAATGGATTAAATGATATTTCAGTTTAAGTTTTTTGTTATGATATTATGGGTCAATTTGGCATTATTGTAGCTTGAACTTAGGGTATTTTTGGTACGACTTCTTCCAATAGAGTTTATGAAAGTATAACTTATCAAAATACTGTTTGATTAGAAATTAGTATAAGAGTTTTATAGTTTTAATTTTAAACAAAAAAAAGAAAAGAAAAAAAAACTTAAGTAAAAAAAAATATAAAGTTAGATTTATAAATTAGTAGAGGAATAGTTTTGAATTTTAAAAATTTTAAATGAACTAAAAAGAGCATACAAAAAATAAGCTCACAGTTTGAGGTTCTCTAAGTAGACGTAAAATAACTTATTTTGAATTTTATAAATCATATTTGATTTAACTTTTAAAATAATTTAGAATGTGTTTAGTTAATTTTATTTTTAAATTAGCTTTGTGCGTTTCAAAAGCTATGTGCTCGGAAATTTAATTTTTAAAGTATTATTATATATATATTGATTGAAAAAGATGTTTTATTCCTAAAAATACTTTTATAATTTCTAAAAGAGTGTTACTCACTCTTTTCTCTCATTTGTGGTGTAAAATGTCGGATAAGTTTTAAGATGGGTAGCACTAGTATTATTCAAAAAAATATTATACACTCTTTTCTTTTTCTTTAACACACATCTCTCTCTATTTTTTTAAATATGATTTCTTAGATTATATTTCTAGGAATGGGCGTTGTACCCACCCTGGCTCAATTGGGGTGGAGATTCCTCGAATTTTTTCGGTAACGGGCAAAGAAAAAATCCCCGCCCTCTGAGACGGGGCGAGGATGGGGATGTAGTTCGCCTTGACAAGGCCCCACCTCATCCCAAAAATGCCTGCCCTTGCCCTATAAATATATAATTAATTAATTATATATTTTATAAAATTTTGTATAAGATAATAGATTTTGCGTAAAATGATCATCCTATTAATCATTTGATACAATCAAATTTTTTAATTGTTATCTTAAATTTATTATTGTATATTTTAATTTATGTAACAAAAGTAACTGTAAGGCATGAAGTGAATATATTTTGACATTTGAGTAACGATTAATAATTTATTATGTTTTATAAGGATACTTAATACTTTTGAGTAAAGATTAATAATTCAATAAGGTCTTAGTACATAATTAGCTTTTATTTAAGTGGAGTCTATAGTGTATATTATAAACTTTATACTTTAGAATGTGTTTGATTGGGGGCTAATCTTCCATTACTGAGGTAATGTCATCTTATATTACTTGATCACCAAGTTTGATTATCAAGTAATAAGAGATTCCGACAATCTTCCAAAACCAATAGTAATTATTATTGGTCATATTTTAATTTATTAAATTTTGTAATTGTTATCTTAAATTTATTATTGTATATTTTAATTTATGTAATAAAAGTAATTGTAAGGAATGAAGTGAATATATTTTGACATTTGAGTAACGATTAATAATTTATTATGTTTTATAAGGATACATAATACTTTTGAGTAAAGATTAATAATTCAATATAGTCTCAATACATAATTAGTTTTTATTTAAGTGGAGTCTATACTTTATAGTATAAACTTTATACTTTATAGTGTGTTTGGTTGGGGATACTTGCTTATTACTAAGGTAATATCATCTTATATTATTTGATTACCACGTTTGATTCTCAAGTAATATAAGATTTCGATAATCTTCCAAAACTAACAGTAATTACTGTTAGTAATATAAGAGGTAATTTGATTACCTCAATTTTCTTATGTATTTTAAGATTACTTGGTAATCTTAATTTTGTTACAATTTTACCCCTTATTAATAAAATTTAGGACAGTAATGCCCTTGTTATCTAAACAGTTTATAAAAAATTGACGAACAATTGTACCCTTATACTCAAACTTTTTAAGACATAATTACCCTTGTACTTCAACCAAATTACCCAAGACCACAGCCACCCCCAGCCACCACCCTAGCCACCTAGGAGGACTGCCGACCGTTGCTAGCAATCACTGGAATGGTACACAGCCGACCGGATCTGGCCGCCATGTGCCGATAAGGTGTTTCACGGCCACATCTTTGGCCATGAAACAACCATAGATCTGGCTGTGAAACAGCGGCCGTTTCACGGTCAAATATCTGGCCTTTATACAACCAAATTTATGGCCATGAAACGACCACATCTTTGGCCGTGAAATGGCCAAGTCTGGTCAAA